AGAAGATCATCGGTCTGATGAAAGGACTGGACGAAAGTACCAGAGTAGCCATCAGAGCAGAAGAGTCATTGTCCGATTGGCTTAATATCAACAGTGGAGTGCGCCAAGGAGAGGTGCCTTCAGCTTTATTATTTGACATGGTGGTCGATTATGTGATGCGGATGAGCTTCGTCCTCAACAACAGCGAGGCGTTTATTATGAGGCCACTACTCAGCCGGAGGTACCCAGCAGTACTCATTACATCTCGAGTACGCTGACGAGATTGCGCTGCTGCGCGACTGAGTCAGTGGCGTGCAGGCACTAACTCAACAAGTGTGTCAGATAACCTCGACGGTAGGTCTAGAAGTTAGGCCCACCAAAAAGAAGGTCTTGCGAACACCCGGCTCGACTAATGACTCAAAGATTCAATGGAATGGAACGGCCATCGAGGAGATCGAAAACTTCAAGTACTTTATCTTTGTACTGGCAAGAGATAGAAGATGTGATAAGGCAGTAGAGCGGCGCAATAGCTGGCAACTGTGAACATCGGCGACTTTTAAAATGTGGAAAGACGGATCTATCCAAAAAGCAACAGAGAATACCATATCGAAAACAGCTGTCGTATTCTCAATCCTGATATTTTGATGCCATGAAACACCAACTCATTTAAAGTGCAATGAAACGATGATGAACACTTTTAGCAGCACTGCCTGTGGAATATAACCACACGGAGTGAGACACCATTCTCCTCTGGGAAACCATAAATGGCCGCAAGAGCATCGGAAGTCAACATCCCTCACTAAAGCAGCTGCTATAGGCGAACTTGCTTGCGACGAAAAACATGACCTTTGCTGCAATAGCCAACATCGCCTAAAGGGTCATTCTGGGAAGCGAAAGGGTCAGACATCATTAGTTTGGATACTCTGTTCTTGACCCTGATGCTCCAGATGACGATGAACAGCAGCATATTTAAGATCAGTGTACTGAGGATGCTCTCTGAAGAACTAAGAAAGCGACACTTCTCATGCTCCTATGAAGCCATAGAGAAGGCAGAAGTCGTGAGACAAACTTTCTTCATATGAGAAGCGACCACGGGGAAAGAAGACGCTGCTACTCTACGAGCTTGCAGAGTTTGTTAGAAGCAGAGGTGCTCCTGACAAGAAGTATGTCCTAGTCGAAAGAGCTATATTTAACGTATTCTGCAAGTCATCTTTTGCACGTGTCATTATGAAAAGCCAAACAGCTGCTAATTACGTCACAGTTCAGAAGACAATAATAAACAACAACAACGCCTTGCATACTGTAGTTATGGAAGTGTGGCTGAAAAATAAAACTTTCACAGTTTCGTGTTGATGGTGTTCAAACTTTTCTTCGCCGAGCCTGAGAGAAACGATAGTTACTGCCTGCCGTCGCACTCTTTTTGGGTTGCCTTCAACTTGGCCGAACGGTGTTGTGTGACATGCGGCTCCAGAATTGTAAGACTGTTCCGTGGTGCCAATCGTCCCCCAGAATTGCAGGTAGCGATCTCAACAAACACAACGCACACACAATGCTTCGACCGCGATGACAGCACCGTGGACCAGATGATTACTCTCAGCAACAAATGGCGACAAGCGCTGAGAGTATGCATAAGGTGATTTATATCAGCTTCATACGCCTGAAGAAGGCTTGCAAGGGAATAGTTCGATCGCAACGGTAATGAGCACCGCAGAGTATGCGGCGAATGATCAATTACCGGGGGGGGCATCGAATTCATACACGACTGTTTAGAGTTTGGATTGAACGCAGCAAGACGATACATTCAGGGGGGGTGCGTTAACCTCCCGTAGGTGCTTTTTCCTCTTAAGCGTAGTTTCCTTTTTCCAAACGCCATAAGGACGAAACTTCAAGGACAATTTTGTCATACTGACGTAGTTCGCCCAACGAAGATATATGAGGGTTTTAGTGACGAATCTCACTTGTGCCGAAGAGGGCTTGTATAAAACTGATGCTGCCATTAAATCTTGAAGACTGCATAAAAATTAAAAATGCTTTGACTGTATGACCCTGCATATCGAATGTATTACATAGCACATCTTCCAACGTTTGGAGCATATTCGATTCATCTTAAGAAAGACACTTCATACAGTGAGAATAATACAGTATAAAATGTTGTTCTCAGGTAGTAACTTCACAACAAAGGCTTCAGCAGCGAAAATTGGAGCTACCTCATAATTTTATTTCAACGCAAACTTATTTCTTTAGCAACGCCTTCAATTATGCTCTGGCTCCATTGATAGTCTAGACTTCCTTTATTTTCCGCTATTAAAAATGTATCGTACAATATATTCCTTTCGTTTGGTCCTATAATATACACTGTTGTTCTTGTCCTGTAGGTTCCGTGCTGCCGAGGTTTTTTCGCATTCACCTGCGAACTTTTATTTGTCATAGTCAATTCTGTTTCTATGGTTGTACATTCTGACGCACGGCGGCGATGAATTATTTCATCTATAAAAATTTTTCATTTACCGATTTCTGGACTGACACTGCTTACATTTCTTTTAAAGTTTCTTGATGAGTTCCTTCGTTTGCTCGTGATTTGTTAGTCAACCTTGATATTCCTTTCTGACCGTTCTGAGAAGGAGATGCTTTTCACCGTTTCCGTAATTGCCTTGGAAGAATTCGAATACTCCTCGGTAATCCCTTTCATCCCAGGTACATTAGAGGAAATCCATCGCATTTCACAGAAGTAGGTGCTTAATATCTTTTTCAGTGAGGGTAAAGGTAATGCTCTAGGCTTATTGCTATACAAAAATTTCAACCTCATGTTACTGAG